CTGAAGTGAATTGAAACAGACATTTAAAATAGAAACAAAAATTATATTTGAATCTTGTTCCCTGTGCAAGACAAGGAGCTTTCTTCTTCAGGTCTTTGTCAGAGAAATTGCTTAATGGTGTCCACATTGCTTGACGATGCGAGAACTTCTCATGGTTGGCTCTATCTGCCAAACCACTAGCCAGTGTGTGGCACTTCCTTTTTTGTGTGATTACCTCACCCCAGTTAACGAAATGCACACAGTGTTACATGACGAACTGTCTGATATTAAAGCAACCAGGGAAGATACAACCAGATCTTAATACATCAGAGACGCAGATCATTCTTCTTGTGCTATTTTATTTTAGGAAGCTATATATTTCAACTTTAATGTTTCATTAACAATGTTTGCTTACATGTGTTTAAGCACATTTTTAATAAACTCTTGGCCACTTTAAGATTTGAGCCATGTAAGTAATCACCTACAATAGTGAGGGCAGATTTTTTAAAGCATATGGGAATTAGAGGTACAGGGAAATACCCGTATTCAAGTGTTGAGGCTAGTCGTCAGAGTTAAATGCCTGGGAGTTAAATCTTGGGGGCAGCTTCCAGCTCAGCTGCCCTGGACCCCTGAATTTCTGGGGATGTTCGGATGTCTGTGTGCTGGCCTCATGTAATTAATAAATGGGATGGGGGGGACAAAGCTGCTGCATGAGTGCTGGTGTGGCAAAGGCATCCCACCTGCACTGTGGGCAGTGCCTGGAGAGCTTCCTTGCTCATTTAGGGCTGTCCTGGTGCTGGCCCTGACCAGCGTTGTGTCTTTAGGCTGCCTTTTCTTCTGCAGTCACACAGGGACCATAAACCTGAGCCATCTGGTGCCTTATGTCCTTATCTGCCCCTGAGCGGTGGCCCTGCCCTGGGTGGCTCTCAGAAGCGACAGGAAAGGAAAGCAGGCCACGTGCTCCAGCCCTGAAGTGGTGCAAGTGACACTGGGCTGGGGCTCTGTGAACCTCGCCAGGGCTGTGCGCCTTTGCCTGACACTGGAAACGGAGTCGCAAAGTGAACTTTTTGCTTTGGGCTTGATGTACCACAGAGGCGAGAGAGCCCAAGGCGAAAGCCCGGAGCGTGGCTCCACAGAAGGGTCAGGCAAACCCCCTGTCCTGGCACCCTCGCTCTCATCTGCGAAAGCGCAGCGGACCTCTCCAGCTCCAACAGGCGTGTGGCAGCTCGTGGTGTCACTCCCGTGCTGGCAGGGCCTCATTCAGTTGCATTTTGGCTCTGAGGCTGTCTCTCTTGCCACAGACACAGCACTGGGGCGCAGGAGTTCAGGCTTCCCCACCACGGTGCAACCTCTCCATCCTCCAGAGGAAGTGTTTTGGTGCTTTCGAATCCCTGCCCCGTGCTGAGAATGACAAAGGGACCTGCTGTGATCATCTGCGTGTGGACTGATTTACATCTTTGTGAATACACACAAATCCCCACACAAAGAAGGCCCCTTCCCCATGAGGTCTGTCAGAGATGATCCCAACTAATTTTGCATTTTTTTGTGCTGCTTAGCTGCCTCTTTCAGACACTTTCAAGTTTCCTTGGATTGTTTTATCCATCATTACAAATCAATATTTGTTGTTATTAAGATAGATTTTTAAGACATGTAGTTACATTTACTGGTAACACTGTAAGTGCGAACATATCGAGAAAGATGAAGGTGCTTTTAGCACTCTCCTCCCCTATTTCCTTTCTAGAGGCTGCTTAATATTTTGAGATTTCCATTTACTAATTAAAATTTCTGGCAAAGTAGAACCTCCTCAGCTGGCTTTCACTAGCTTCATTTCATGGGTTTATTATCCTGTACCAACAAATATATCTGACCATGTGCTGTATTAATGCTTGCATGCAAGCACAACATTGGACAGGTTTTTCCCAGTGCAATGAGCACATGTGAATGGTGGGTCAGTTTGAAAATCTTTTCGAGAAGTTACATCTTCAACCAACAAAACTGTTTCTATAGTGGAGTGCACTCCTCTAGATGGCACTCGAAGCTATGTTTTTACTGGTTTTGAGGCGGGGTGTGTGGATATTGCAGGAATAAGAAAACTTCCTTCTCCTCTATTTGTGAGCTCAAATCTGACAGTGCTGGATAAGTTGTTCAGTGGGACAGTTTCTGGGCAGGCTGGGAAACTTGTCTTCTGATGTAATATAAAAACTGTGTGGGGTAAGGTTCAGCTTATAAAGGAAAAATTAATGCTTATGAGAGTGCTCCCTTATTTCCTTTACTGGCATCACATGCTTTTTCTCCACAATTAAGACAATGAAGTGGATCTAAGGGGAACTGGAGTTTATTTCCCTGCTTTCTTGTGAGACTTTTTAGGCCCCTTCATAGTTTGATTCTAATTTAATTGTTCTCTATTACAAAAGTAGAATATGATATAAATTATAACCAGGCTTTGAGTCTCTTAGTACTTTTCTTTTCCATTTATGAAACAGGGCTAATAATAATTCTTATCCACCCACCTGTTGCTTGTCTCTTTCATTTAGGTTGTGATTTCTTCAAGTTAAGGACTGTACTAAATGTAAGCTGGGGCCACCAGTAGTATTCATTAGCGTCTATTTATGATCCTTGGATAGATTTTCTAGTTTGGTTGCAGACAGTTCAGATTTTTCTCAGTATTTGTTTATTCATGTCTAGCAGAAATTGCTGGTTTGGATCCTGAGCACCGATACTCTCCTCTGATCAGCTCATCTCATGGACCTGTGTTACGACGGAGTACAACTGAAGTGAACCAGACCCGCCTTACGTGGGTGGCTTTCACGGAGAGCTGCTGCTCTACGCTCCCAGCAGTCTCATTTCTGAGAGTGCTTGGTTTGGTGCAGTGCCTTGCAGCTACAACGCTGCTGGCAGCAAGGCAGGTAGCAGCAAGACAGAACGCAACTGGTGCCATAGGTTTTTGAGCTCAGGCGGGACTACCAAGTCACCTGGCTTCACACACTAGACACCAGCTTGTTCCAAAAGTTTTAGTATTATCTGTTTCCAATTTTTCACCTCATTACCCAAGGTGTTAATCTCTCAGTTGTTCCAGATAAATCATACCTTTGTTGCTTTCATCTGGGTACTGAGCAAACTTTTAATCTACTGTTTATGCTATATCAGTGTACACTTAACACTTAATTTTTTGAAAGTCATAAGCATCTCCATAATCACTGGAAGATAGCTCTTTTGTCATGGGCATTGACTCACAGACCTCTGCTCTCTGCAGCTCCTGGAGGAGGGGAAGTGGAGAGGGAGGTGCTGGTCTCTTCTCCCTCTTCTCCCTGGTATCCAGTGATGCGACACGTTGGAATGGTTTAAAGCTGCATCAGGGGAGGTTCAGACTTGACGTTAGGAAACATTTCTTTACCGAGAGAGCAGTCAGACACTGGAACAGGCATCCCAGAGACGTGGTTGATGCCCCCAAACCTCTCAGTGTTTAAGAGGCATTTGGATGATGCCCTTGATAACATGCTTTAACTTTTGGTCAGCCCTGACGTGGTCAGGCAGCTGGATTTGAAGATGGTTGCAGGTCCCTTCCAATTGAACTAGTCTATTCTTCTTCAAATGTATTATCTCATTCAGGATTAATTTTGTCTTGCCTTTGGGATATATGAGAGGTTCTGCTTCAAACAGAACAACAAAATAGCCAACCAATGGAGATGTATTCATGTCTTAACAGTGCCAGAAATTACCAAGGTGGGGGTGTCTGTCTTTTTAATGCATTTATACCTTATTTTGCATGTTGAATCACAGCTGTAGGTTTGTTTGGCCGGAGACTGTATGTAGATGCTTAGCTGAACAACCCACTTTTTTGGATGTTAAAAAATAAGTAGAGGTAATCAAGGAAACCTACCACAGTTGAAAGAACAACCTGCATATCTCAAGTATGCAAGTTGAGTCAGAATCAGCCTGTTCACAAAATATCTATGTTGTGCAGGTTTGTGTCTGTGCTCCTTGCACGCTTTTGAGCTCTGTTCTTAGCTATTCTTGTGATCAGACCCTTGGGTAATACCTTGTTAACCTGGTTATTTTTTTGCTAACCTTCACCTTTCCCAAAGCTGACAGTAGCCTATTTGGAGGAAGATGTTATTGCTGTTTTCCTTCTATTCTGTACTGCTCTTCCATTAACTATTGCATTCATCTTTTAAAAACATCATAGTGATTATTGCTCTGTGGTCACTGCTGTCTCGGAGCTCAATTTTAATTGACTTGATTCTGTTACCTTTAAGACAGACTCCTACATGCAGTGCTGTCTAGGTGTATTCCTATTTGTGGGTCTAAGTAAATGGACACTACCTGAGAGAGGTTTTATGTGAAGGCTGCTTTGCAGGCAGATGTGAGCTGCTGTTAGAATGGGATGTCCTTTATTACATACATTGCCTTTTTCTGGACTTAATTTTTCTGTTTTGATCACATCTTCCTCAGTCCTGGTATATGCTGCTACTGTCTGATGTGGTAATTTTGTGTCTACTGAACAATGACCTTTATACCTCAGGAAAATGCAGGGAAATGCTGCATGATCCAAATAAATGATACATGCCTAACACTTATGTGGACAGTCTCTTCAGAGAGAATTAGAGTTCTCTTAACTGTCAGCAGTTTTCTTTACAATATTTAAGCCTACTGCAAAGATACAGAAATGAAGAACATCTCCAGCTACAGATGATTAGACAAGCAAGTACACTTCCTTTACAACTTAGTTTCTAAATGTTTTGCTTTGTCTGCTTTCCCTGTACTAAGGAGAATATGAAGAAAGAAAATACAGGATGAGAGAACTACTAGAACGAAGGAAGTCTGCACATGCAAATCTATAAAACTCAGGATTGTAATGAGTGAAAAATCTCTATTACTACCGCATTTAGAAACTGTGCTGTCATTAAGCAGCCACTTCATCAGATAGTGGGGTATACTCAAACCTTTTGCAAACTTAAGCTGGGATTTTCAGAATCAGAAAATGGTAGCAGCACTATCAGTAACGCATGCTACTCAAGACATTATTCATATGGTAAATTTATTGTGAATTAAGAATACAGACAGTGTTTTATTACATGTGAAGGCTGTCACATATGCACTCTGATTTTTGTTGTGTACTTGAGAGAAGCATTAATATAAACAAAGAAGCAAGTAATTATATACATCTCCTTTCCCAGAAAATCTCTGAAGCAATTCCACCAGTGTGGCAGATAATTCTGTGCATTTAACTATCCAGTAAATATATACATTAAAATTTATTTATCCACATTTCAATAATTATTCTTTGCCAGCATGTTTTATTTTGATATCTTAAAAATGTGAACTAGTTATATGGTTTTTGGTCTTGAATTTATTCTGTTGAGGTTTTTAAAAGTTCTTTTAAGGCTAAATATCACCCACCACAATAATAAAAAAAAATGCAAAGAGAGGGAGAGGTAAAGCTTTAGTCTCTCTACACTAGTATTTTGGTTTTATTTTGCATTTTAAAATGTCTGTGGAATATACATATTACCTTAGCTGAAAAAAATAAAAATATTTTAATAAGAAAGAAAAAGTAGGTCAGAAAGGTCCAAAATCTAAACAGGTAAGTATAGTTCTCATAGTACTAGTTTATACTCCATTCTGGAAATAATCTATAATCTAAACATAATCAGTGTGGTTTTGAGAAGTCTATTTAACAAGTCTTTTTGCTATCATTGAGCCTTCAGTGGTTTACTTTCATGGTTCAGTTATCTTTTCAGACTTTGCTAGAACTATGGGCTCCACTCTGCCTTCAGTTGCCTTTGGGGCAGATTTGAAGAAATCAGTATTTTTATTTTATTAGTGCAGAGTATAGCACATCTATGTATTTGAAAATTGAAATGTGGTAAATTCTGTTCAACTGTTTTCATGAATATCAGCTTTGGGTTTTGTTTAATTTTCAGTTACAAGAAAATTAAGAAAACATTATTTTCTTTATATGTAGATTATTCTATTTTCATTGAAGGCTGAGAAAAGAGAAACTTCATTTTGTTCCATCTCCAGGAATATTAGATTGACTATCTTTTTCTTCTTCCAACAAGATTAGTTCAGTTCTTGCTGATGATGTCACGATAGTTCGAGAAACTGGAACATTAGATGAGGCCCCATCAATTTCAACTTTTCACCCTCTGTTGTTTCTTTAGGTGATAAGCTTTCCTGTGCATCAAAAAATACATCAGGTTTATCTGATGGACTATCTTCATCTGAGATTCTTCCCTCTTTATGACACATCTCTTCTTTGTCAGCAGTCTTAGCCTTTTTGGAAGGAGATGTGAAACCAAGCTTAGGAAATTTAAACCATCCAGTTTTTTCAGTTTGCTTATAAGAATCAGTATCTGATGTGTCAGCAGGTTTCACATCTTCTGCAGCTGATTTTTTTATTTCTGTTTTTGAATCTGTGCTTGTTTCATCACCAGAAGATGAAAAGCCAATACTTGGAAGCCAAAATTTGAATCTTCCAGGAGATCTTTTACTATCAGTCTTTTCTTTTTCATTGGTTATGTCTTTTAATTCATCTTCTAGTGCTTCATCTACATCCTCATCTTTAGAGAGAGGACCTCCAGTTATTCCCTCTGGTGACTTATCGGGAAGACTCTCTTCAAGTTTACTGTAAGGCTTTACTTCGACAGCAAATGTTTTTAACTTTGGCAAGCTTACTTCTCCACTAGATTCTTCAGTCTCACTGTGTGGTTTGTCAGATAGCTTAAAGTCAGCACTGACAGTTCTCTGTGCCATTGCTCCGAAGCTTTCATCCACATATTTAGGTTTGCTTACTGATATATCTTCTGTTGAAGTTGGTTGCTGGACTAGCACTTCTAAGTTGCTATGTGATTCAGGCAACTTCACCTTGAGCAGTGAGAATCCCAGAGTAGCAGTTTTGACTTCTGATGAGAGAATCTCTGATTCTTTCAGTATTTCAGTAGTGTAAATCTCACACCTTTCAATAGCAACATGCTCGGGTTCTACTGTCTCACTCACTTCTTGGCTTTCTACATATGACCAATGAATATCTTGCCCTGTATTTGAAGGGGAGGACTCTATGGTAGTAGTCATCTGTGCTGTTTTAATGTCAGGTTCAGTCAGTGTCAGAATTTTGCTTTTTGTTTTTTGAATACCACCCTCTAGAGCCTCTGGTGTTTCTCCAGGGATAGCAGAGCTTTCTTGAAGTTGCACTACTTCAATGTCAGTACTAGATCCCTTAGGATCTGCTACCACTTTTGACACTGAAACATCAGCTTCAGTTGGGAGAGCTTTGAAAGTGAATGTTGGCATTTTTAGTTTGGGAATTTTTATATTTACTTCTGGGCCACCTTGTGTTTTGTCCACTGTTTCCACTGGTATTCTGGCAGATGCTTCTGTAAGATCTAGAGCTGGACTTTTCAGGCCAATAGATCTTTCTGGTTTTTGAAACTGTATTTCTGCTGTGCCTATTTCAGTTTTAGATACTGAATCAGCTTCTGACTTTGGCAAATTGATGTCATCTTCAAAATGCTTCACTTCTGAATGCAACACTCCAAACTTTGGAATCTCAAACTTGTATGTTTTAATTTTACTTGTTTCTGCCCTATCTTCTACTTGCACTTCCACCCCTGCAGGCATGTCCTTTTCAATACTTTTCACTTGAAATTTCATTCCAGGATCTACTCTAGCGATTTTAACATCCATCTTCACTCCCTTTACATCATCCAGCTTAGCTGTAACATAAGTACCATCTTCTGATCCCTTTGTCATAGACCATTCACAGGTAGGCCTTTTTAACTGGCTTCCTTCACTGTCTTTTCCCATAATTTTCATCTCACCCTTTAGCTTTTCTTTTTTAATGACCGCCTCTTGATTTTTAATATCTAGTTCTTCTTCTGGAAGACTAACATCTATTTTCTCCTGTGTTGCATCCAGAGTAATTTCAGCTGGTGACAATTTACATCTTACTCCTGAAGTCTCTAATTTAGTGGAACTTTCTACCTTTGGGACTTCTATATCCTGTGATTTGACTTTATGATCTTGAAGAGTCAGAGTACATGTAGGAAACCTATTTGTTAGACTCTTGTCTTTGTCAATTTCTGAAGCACTTAGGTATGATTTAGACAACTCTGCTGAAGACACTGTGAATTCTGAAGTGTGCATTTTTTGGCCGTCAGCACCATGCTTAACTATGTCTGCATAAGTTTCAGGTTTTGGAATATTCACTCTACTGTATGTTCTTTCTGTGGATAATGAAGTATCTCCTTCCATCTTTGACAAGCTAACATCAGAACTCTTCACAGAATCTCCTAATTTTGGAATCTCTTCTTTTCCAATAGTAATTTCAGCAACTGGTAATGAGAAGGTATTTTCAGGAACACTTGTTTCAGTTTGCACTTTGGCAGAGGGAATGCCTGCCTGAGCTTTTTCCATACTTTCAATATCAGCATCACCTTTTTTTTCCTTTAAGGATGTCCTGCCAAATGCAGGTATTCTGAATTTTGGCATTTTAAACCATCCCTGATGTTCTTCAGTCTGAATTTCTTCAGCTTTTATTTCTTCTTTTAATTTTATCTCTTTCTCCTCAAGGCTCTCAATAGCTCCCTCTGCCATTGGTTTAGACACTAACTTGGGGCTTATGTCTACCTTTGGAGCTTCAACACCAGCTGTCAGAACTTGGGGTGTTTTTATCTTACAAACACCTACTCCAGAATCTGACATATCCGATGTAAGTTCTGGTGCTGGAACTCCCACAGAAATGTCGGCAACTTCATTTGTCATTTTTAACTGGGGTAGCTCAGCTTCTATTTCTGGAGAGCTGATCTCTGTCTCTGGGACTTTCCCTTTTGTTAGGGAGATTCCAAATTTTGGCTTCTGGAATTTGGGCATTTTAATCTTTCCCTCAGGACCTTCCAACTTCATCTTTCTTCCATCCACAACTGATGATCTTTCTGTTACTATTTCAGGGCTCCTCAGTTCAACTGAAGCTTCTCCTTTGGTGAACTTAATACCTGTTTTTTGAATTGTATCTTCATCAGTAGAACTTGATTTGAGGACAACTTGTTGAAAACTCCCCTCTGAGGGAGGCAGAGAAGCATCAATCTTTGCTGAGCTGACTCCCATTTCAGTTTGGGAGGCTCCAGTTTCTATTTTGGAAAACTCCAGAGTGGGGATTTTAACATCAGCCAGTTTTATGCTTATTTGTGCCCCTTCTTCTGTCCTTTCAGCATGACTTCTTTCTATATCAGGTATCTGTATTGAATCATCACCCTCTCTTTCTGTTTTAGGAATAGTAGCATCAGCTCCAACTTTTGGTGAATGAGTCTGAGATTTGGGAACCTTGATCTTAGAGAGAGAAATTTTAGGCATGACAAACTGAGGCTTTTTAACTGGACTTTTTTGTTCAACTTTTCCTGCAGATACTTCCAGATCAAGGGCTGTCCCAGTACCTTGATCATCAGTTGCAGTTCCTCTCACTTCTGTGTCTACTCTGCTTGACATTAGAGCAAGTTTATGATCTTCCAAATTTGCTCCAGAATCCTGTTTAACACTTGCTTCCTTCTTTGGTGACCAACTGAAGGATGGAAGTTTGAATTTTGGCATTTTGAAATGCCCTTCTTTCTCTTCTCCATCTCCATCTTGTTTTATTTCCCCTTTTATTTTTAGTGCTGCATCTGAATCCTGAATATCACTGTCTGGTTTTGGAATAAAAATGCCAGCTGGTGGGAGGTGAACATCAGCCTCTGATGCCTTATTGTCAGCTTTGGTCATTTTGACTTTAGAGCTGTAAGTTTCTGTTCCTGTACCACATTTCACCTCCAAATTTGGTGCTTCAACAGCAATGTCAGCTATTTCTACCATTGATTTTAGTTGGGGAACCTTGACTTCTGATTTGGATTGGATGACCTCCTTTTCTGATCCTTTCCCTTTAGAATGTGTAATTCCAAACTTTGGCATTTGGAATTTAGACATTTTTGTTTTCCCTTCAGGACCTTCAATTTTTATTTCTACATCACCTACAGCAATTTCACTTGATGTTCTTTCAGCACTTGTGTCAGGACACTCTACCTCAAGGGAGCCCTCAGTTACTATCTTAATATCTGAGGTGGAGAGGCTGGCATTAACAGCAGCTGATTTCAATGTCAGGTCATCTTCTTCACATCTAGGAAGTATGACCTCATCTGTAGGCATTCTAATATCCATGTCTATTTTGGGAGATTTGACTCCTGGTTTGGAAAATTCCAACGTAGGGACCGTAACTTTTGGCATTTTTATGCCCATTCCTGCCCCTTCTCCACTAGTCCCTTTCTCAGATTTCTCTACTGAAACACCTTCTTTTTCTTCTTTGGGAGCACAAGCATCAGCTTCCACTATGGGCAGAGAGATCTGGCCTTTTTGACCTTTAATTTTAGGAAATGAGATCTTTGGCATAATAAATTGGGACTTCTTGTTTCTGCTCTTTTCACTATCCTTTTCTGTTGATGTATCAAATTCCATGTGAGGGTATTGATTATCAGGGGTAGGAAATTTTATTTCAGATTCTGTGTCTCCAGATAGAGAAGACAAAGTTGGTTCTTCCAGATGTACCTCAACTTCAGAAGGACCAATAACTTCTTTCTTTGGCGACCAACTAAATGAAGGAAGTTTGAATTTTGATGTTTTAAATTTGTTTTCTTTCTCCTCAGTGTCCTTGTCTTTGGAAACTATTTCCTGTTCTGCACTGCACTCTAAATCTAGGCCATGGACTTCTACTTCTAATTTTGGCATGGTAACTTCCATTGATGGGAGACTGACATCCAATGTTGGTGCATCCAGACAAAATTCAGGTGAGGGTTTGTACATCTTTACACCTAACTGGGCATCAGAGATCTGCGTTCTTTTTTCAAAATCAGTATCAGCTACATAAGATGTTATCCTGCATTGGGAAATTTCAGATTCCACTTTGGAACCAATGTCACTTTCTGAGGGTTTTCCCTTAGACCAAGAAATTCCAAATTTTGGCTTTCGGAATTTAGGAATTTTAACTGTAACCTCTGTGTCACCCACAGATATTTCAGCAGCAGGAGTTTTCAATCCTGGCTTCAGAATTCCTTCCTCCAAAGAAATATCTTCATTTAAAATTTCAAAATCTGTTACAGAACAATCTTCATCAATAAGAGATGATATTTTTGATTCAGATTCTCCTAGATTCATTTGATATTTAGTAAGAGTAATATCGTCTTTAGGAAATGGGGAATCATGTTGAATTTTAGAAGAATCAATATCAATTTTGGAAAAACCCAAGTTAGGAATTCTGAATTTAGTAGACTTAGAGCCACTATCAACCTTACTGTCATGAAGAAGCTTAGATCCGACACTGCCTGAAAGAACTGCAGGAGCATCCTCTATAACTGAATAAGAAAGAATTTCTGACCCAGAAAATTCAACACCAGCCTTACTCTGAGAATGTGGTTTAGAACTTTTAGAAAGGGAAACCCTAGGAATTCTAAAAAGAGAACTTTTAGCTTTACCACTCTCATCCTCTTTTCGGGAGGAAGAATCTATGCCAACGTCAAAGGCAGGCGCTTGGATCTCGGCCCCGGGCAGGGTCACGTCCACCTCGGCGGTTCCCGAGGGCACCGTCACTTGGGGCTCCTTCAGGCTGACGTCCACGTCAGCGGCCACGGTGCCCTTGGCCTCTCTGCTGCTGGACCAGCCAAAGGAAGGCATGCCGAACTTGGGCATCTTGAACTTGCCGTCCTTGGTCTTGGCGGCCTCCTTCTCGGGGGCTTTTGCTTCCCCTTCGAGGGCGAGGCCCGCCTCGGGTGCCTGCAGGTCGACGCTGGCCTTCGGAAGGGTGACGTCGACGGACGGGAGGCTGATGTCTACCTTGGGAGCTTTGATGTCAGCTTTGGGCATTTTGAGGGAGGGCTTCTCCAGCTTCCAGCCGGCCCCGTCGCTTTTGGCGCCGGGCACGTCGGCTTTCAGGCCCAGCGCGGGGCCCTCCCCTGCGGCCGTCACGGTGGCGGAGGGGAGGTCGACCTCTGCGGCGGCCAGGCTGAGCTCGCCTTCGGGCCCTTCTGCCTTGAGGGGCGACACCCCGAATTTGGGCTTGTCGAACTTGGGCATCTTAAACTTCCCTTTCAGACCCGCGCCTTCCAGCTCGGCCCCGTCGAGCGACCCTTCGGCAGAGGGCACTTTGAGCGCTATCTCGGGCGCCTGGAGCTCGAGGGAGCCTTCGACGGAGGGCAGCTGGATGTCGGGGGCCGCAATGCTGACGGCGCCGGTGCCGGCCTTCAGGTCTGCCTCTGGCAGGCTGGCGTCGACTTTGGGCAGGCTGACGTCGGCGTCCAGTTTGGGAGCCTTGACGGTCGGCTTGGAGAAGGCCACGCTGGGCACCTTGACCTTCGGCATGTGGATTTTCATGCCGCCGCCCTCAGCTTTGCCGGCAGCCGCCTCCAGGCCGCCTTCGACCTGGGGGCCCTGCAGGGCGACTTCGCCCTCCTGGACTTCGGCCTGGCCCTTGGGCAGCGAGACCTCGGCCTTTGGCAGGCTGACCTGCACGTGGGGAGCTTTGACCTTGGGCAGCTTGACGCTGGGCATCTTGACGTCGGGCATCTTGAATCGACCTTTCTCACCGTCTCCTCCGGCGGCCGTCTCGACGGCCACCTCCACGCCGGGCGCTTGGATCTCGGCCCCGGGCAGGGTCACGTCCACCTCGGCGGTTCCCGAGGGCACCGTCACTTGGGGCTCCTTCAGGCTGACGTCCACGTCAGCGGCCACGGTGCCCTTGGCCTCTCTGCTGCTGGACCAGCCAAAGGAAGGCATGCCGAACTTGGGCATCTTGAACTTGCCGTCCTTGGTCTTGGCGGCCTCCTTCTCGGGGGCTTTTGCTTCCCCTTCGAGGGCGAGGCCCGCCTCGGGTGCCTGCAGGTCGACGCTGGCCTTCGGAAGGGTGACGTCGACGGACGGGAGGCTGATGTCTACCTTGGGAGCTTTGATGTCAGCTTTGGGCATTTTGAGGGAGGGCTTCTCCAGCTTCCAGCCGGCCCCGTCGCTTTTGGCGCCGGGCACGTCGGCTTTCAGGCCCAGCGCGGGGCCCTCCCCTGCGGCCGTCACGGTGGCGGAGGGGAGGTCGACCTCTGCGGCGGCCAGGCTGAGCTCGCCTTCGGGCCCTTCTGCCTTGAGGGGCGACACCCCGAATTTGGGCTTGTCGAACTTGGGCATCTTAAACTTCCCTTTCAGACCCGCGCCTTCCAGCTCGGCCCCGTCGAGCGACCCTTCGGCAGAGGGCACTTTGAGCGCTATCTCGGGCGCCTGGAGCTCGAGGGAGCCTTCGACGGAGGGCAGCTGGATGTCGGGGGCCGCAATGCTGACGGCGCCGGTGCCGGCCTTCAGGTCTGCCTCTGGCAGGCTGGCGTCGACTTTGGGCAGGCTGACGTCGGCGTCCAGTTTGGGAGCCTTGACGGTCGGCTTGGAGAAGGCCACGCTGGGCACCTTGACCTTCGGCATGTGGATTTTCATGCCGCCGCCCTCAGCTTTGCCGGCAGCCGCCTCCAGGACGCCTTCGACCTGGGGGCCCTGCAGGGCGACTTCGCCCTCCTGGACTTCGGCCTGGCCCTTGGGCAGCGAGACCTCGGCCTTTGGCAGGCTGACCTGCACGTGGGGAGCTTTGACCTTGGGCAGCTTGACGCTGGGCATCTTGACGTCGGGCATCTTGAATCGACCTTTCTCACCGTCTCCTCCGGCGGCCGTCTCGACGGCCACCTCCACGCTGGGCGCTTGGATCTCGGCCCCGGGCAGGGTCACGTCCACCTCGGCGGTTCCCGAGGGCACCGTCACTTGGGGCTCCTTCAGGCTGACGTCCACGTCAGCGGCCACGGTGCCCTTGGCCTCTCTGCTGCTGGACCAGCCAAAGGAAGGCATGCCGAACTTGGGCATCTTGAACTTGCCGTCCTTGGTCTTGGCGGCCTCCTTCTCGGGGGCTTTTGCTTCCCCTTCGAGGGCGAGGCCCGCCTCGGGTGCCTGCAGGTCGACGCTGGCCTTCGGAAGGGTGATGTCGACGGACGGGAGGCTGATGTCTACCTTGGGAGCTTTGATGTCAGCTTTGGGCATTTTGAGGGAGGGCTTCTCCAGCTTCCAGCCGGCCCCGTCGCTTTTGGCGCCGGGCACGTCGGCTTTCAGGCCCAGCGCGGGGCCCTCCCCTGCGGCCGTCACGGTGGCGGAGGGGAGGTCGACCTCTGCGGCGGCCAGGCTGAGCTCGCCTTCGGGCCCTTCTGCCTTGAGGGGCGACACCCCGAATTTGGGCTTGTCGAACTTGGGCATCTTAAACTTCCCTTTCAGACCCGCGCCTTCCAGCTCGGCCCCGTCGAGCGACCCTTCGGCAGAGGGCACTTTGAGCGCTATCTCGGGCGCCTGGAGCTCGAGGGAGCCTTCGACGGAGGGCAGCTGGATGTCGGGGGCCGCAATGCTGACGGCGCCGGTGCCGGCCTTCAGGTCTGCCTCTGGCAGGCTGGCGTCGACTTTGGGCAGGCTGACGTCGGCGTCCAGTTTGGGAGCCTTGACGGTCGGCTTGGAGAAGGCCACGCTGGGCACCTTGACCTTCGGCATGTGGATTTTCATGCCGCCGCCCTCAGCTTTGCCGGCAGCCGCCTCCAGGCCGCCTTCGACCTGGGGGCCCTGCAGGGCGACTTCGCCCTCCTGGACTTCGGCCTGGCCCTTGGGCAGCGAGACCTCGGCCTTTGGCAGGCTGACCTGCACGTGGGGAGCTTTGACCTTGGGCAGCTTGACGCTGGGCATCTTGACGTCGGGCATCTTGAATCGACCTTTCTCACCGTCTCCTCCGGCGGCCGTCTCGACGGCCACCTCCACGCCGGGCGCTTGGATCTCGGCCCCGGGCAGGGTCACGTCCACCTCGGCGGTTCCCGAGGGCACCGTCACTTGGGGCTCCTTCAGGCTGACGTCCACGTCAGCGGCCACGGTGCCCTTGGCCTCTCTGCTGCTGGACCAGCCAAAGGAAGGCATGCCGAACTTGGGCATCTTGAACTTGCCGTCCTTGGTCTTGGCGGCCTCCTTCTCGGGGGCTTTTGCTTCCCCTTCGAGGGCGAGGCCCGCCTCGGGTGCCTGCAGGTCGACGCTGGCCTTCGGAAGGGTGACGTCGACGGACGGGAGGCTGATGTCTACCTTGGGAGCTTTGATGTCAGCTTTGGGCATTTTGAGGGAGGGCTTCTCCAGCTTCCAGCCGGCCCCGTCGCTTTTGGCGCCGGGCACGTCGGCTTTCAGGCCCAGCGCGGGGCCCTCCCCTGCGGCCGTCACGGTGGCGGAGGGGAGGTCGACCTCTGCGGCGGCCAGGCTGAGCTCGCCTTCGGGCCCTTCTGCCTTGAGGGGCGACACCCCGAATTTGGGCTTGTCGAACTTGGGCATCTTAAACTTCCCTTTCAGACCCGCGCCTTCCAGCTCGGCCCCGTCGAGCGACCCTTCGGCAGAGGGCACTTTGAGCGCTATCTCGGGCGCCTGGAGCTCGAGGGAGCCTTCGACGGAGGGCAGCTGGATGTCGGGGGCCGCAATGCTGACGGCGCCGGTGCCGGCCTTCAGGTCTGCCTCTGGCAGGCTGGCGTCGACTTTGGGCAGGCTGACGTCGGCGTCCAGTTTGGGAGCCTTGACGGTCGGCTTGGAGAAGGCCACGCTGGGCACCTTGACCTTCGGCATGTGGATTTTCATGCCGCCGCCCTCAGCTTTGCCGGCAGCCGCCTCCAGGCCGCCTTCGACCTGGGGCCCTGCAGGGCGACTTCGCCCTCCTGGACTTCGGCCTGGCCCTTGGGCAGCGAGACCTCGGCCTTTGGCAGGCTGACCTGCACGTGGGGAGCTTTGACCTTGGGCAGCTTGACGCTGGGCATCTTGACGTCGGGCATCTTGAATCGACCTTTCTCACCGTCTCCTCCGGCGGCCGTCTCGACGGCCACCTCCACGCCGGGCGCTTGGATCTCGGCCCCGGGCAGGGTCACGTCCACCTCGGCGGTTCCCGAGGGCACCGTCACTTGGGGCTCCTTCAGGCTGACGTCCACGTCAGCGGCCACGGTGCCCTTGGCCTCTCTGCTGCTGGACCAGCCAAAGGAAGGCATGCCGAACTTGGGCATCTTGAACTTGCCGTCCTTGGTCTTGGCGGCCTCCTTCTCGGGGGCTTTTGCTTCCCCTTCGAGGGCGAGGCCCGCCTCGGGTGCCTGCAGGTCGACGCTGGCCTTCGGAAGGGTGACGTCGACGGACGGGAGGCTGATGTCTACCTTGGGAGCTTTGATGTCAGCTTTGGGCATTTTGAGGGAGGGCTTCTCCAGCTTCCAGCCGGCCCCGTCGCTTTTGGCGCCGGGCACGTCGGCTTTCAGGCCCAGCGCGGGGCCCTCCCCTGCGGCCGTCACGGTGGCGGAGGGGAGGTCGACCTCTGCGGCGGCCAGGCTGAGCTCGCCTTCGGGCCCTTCTGCCTTGAGGGGCGACACCCCGAATTTGGGCTTGTCGAACTTGGGCATCTTAAACTTCCCTTTCAGACCCGCGCCTTCCAGCTCGGCCCCGTCGAGCGACCCTTCGGCAGAGGGCACTTTGAGCGCTATCTCGGGCGCCTGGAGCTCGAGGGAGCCTTCGACGGAGGGCAGCTGGATGTCGGGGGCCGCAATGCTGACGGCGCCGGTGCCGGCCTTCAGGTCTGCCTCTGGCAGGCTGGCGTCGACTTTGGGCAGGCTGACGTCGGCGTCCAGTTTGGGAGCCTTGACGGTCGGCTTGGAGAAGGCCACGCTGGGCACCTTGACCTTCGGCATGTGGATTTTCATGCCGCCGCCCTCAGCTTTGCCGGCAGCCGCCTCCAGGCCGCCTTCGACCTGGGGGCCCTGCAGGGCGACTTCGCCCTCCTGGACTTCGGCCTGGCCCTTGGGCAGCGAGACCTCGGCCTTTGGCAGGCTGACCTGCACGTGGGGAGCTTTGACCTTGGGCAGCTTGACGCTGGGCATCTTGACGTCGGGCATCTTGAATCGACCTTTCTCACCGTCTCCTCCAGCGGCCGTCTCGACGGCCACCTCCACGCCGGGCGCTTGGATCTCGGCCCCGGGCAGGGTCACGTCCACCTCGGCGGTTCCCGAGGGCACCGTCACTTGGGGCTCCTTCAGGCTGACGTCCACGTCAGCGGCCACGGTGCCCTTGGCCTCTCTGCTGCTGGACCAGCCAAAGGAAGGCATGCCGAACTTGGGCATCTTGAACTTGCCGTCCTTGGTCTTGGCGGCCTCCTTCTCGGGGGCTTTTGCTTCCCCTTCGAGGGCGAGGCCCGCCTCGGGTGCCTGCAGGTCGACGCTGGCCTTCGGAAGGGTGACGTCGACGGACGGGAGGCTGATGTCTACCTTGGGAGCTTTGATGTCAGCTTTGGGCATTTTGAGGGAGGGCTTCTCCAGCTTCCAGCCGGCCCCGTCGCTTTTGGCGCCGGGCACGTCGGCTTTCAGGCCCAGCGCGGGGCCCTCCCCTGCGGCCGTCACGGTGGCGGAGGGGAGGTCGACCTCTGCGGCGGCCAGGCTGAGCTCGCCTTCGGGCCCTTCTGCCTTGAGGGGCGACACCCCGAATTTGGGCTTGTCGAACTTGGGCATCTTAAACTTCCCTTTCAGACCCGCGCCTTCCAGCTCGGCCCCGTCGAGCGACCCTTCGGCAGAGGGCACTTTGAGCGCTATCTCGGGCGCCTGGAGCTCGAGGGAGCCTTCGACGGAGGGCAGCTGGATGTCGGGGGCCGCAATGCTGACGGCGCCGGTGCCGGCCTTCAGGTCTGCCTCTGGCAGGCTGGCGTCGACTTTGGGCAGGCTGACGTCGGCGTCCAGTTTGGGAGCCTTGACGGTCGGCTTGGAGAAGGCCACGCTGGGCACCTTGACCTTCGGCATGTGGATTTTCATGCCGCCGCCCTCAGCTTTGCCGGCAGCCGCCTCCAGGCCGCCTTCGACCTGGGGGCCCTGCAGGGCGACTTCGCCCTCCTGGACTTCGGCCTGGCCCTTGGGCAGCGAGACCTCGGCCTTTGGCAGGCTGACCTGCACGTGGGGAGCTTTGACCTTGGGCAGCTTGACGCTGGGCATCTTGACGTCGGGCATCTTGAATCGACCTTTCTCACCGTCTCCTCCAGCGGCCGTCTCGACGGCCACCTCCACGCCGGGCGCTTGGATCTCGGCCCCGGGCAGGGTCACGTCCACCTCGGCGGTTCCCGAGGGCACCGTCACTTGGGGCTCCTTCAGGCTGACATCCACGTCAGCGGCCACGGTGCCCTTGGCCTCTCTGCTGCTGGACCAGCCAAAGGAAGGCATGCCGAACTTGGGCATCTTGAACTTGCCGTCCTTGGTCTTGGCGGCCTCCTTCTCGGGGGCTTTTGCTTCCCCTTCGAGGGCGAGGCCCGCCTCGGGTGCCTGCAGGTCGACGCTGGCCTTCGGAAGGGTGACGTCGACGGACGGGAGGCTGATGTCTACCTTGGGAGCTTTGATGTCAGCTTTGGGCATTTTGAGGGAGGGCTTCTCCAGCTTCCAGCCGGCCCCGTCGCTTTTGGCGCCGGGCACGTCGGCTTTCAGGCCCAGCGCGGGGCCCTCCCCTGCGGCCGTCACGGTGGCGGAGGGGAGGTCGACCTCTGCGGCGGCCAGGCTGAGCTCGCCTTCGGGCCCTTCTGCCTTGAGGGGCGACACCCCGAATTTGGGCTTGTCGAACTTGGGCATCTTAAACTTCCCTTTCAGACCCGCGCCTTCCAGCTCGGCCCCGTCGAGCGACCCTTCGGCAGAGGGCACTTTGAGCGCTATCTCGGGCGCCTGGAGCTCGAGGGAGCCTTCGACGGAGGGCAGCTGGATGTCGGGGGCCGCAATGCTGACGGCGCCGGTGCCGGCCTTCAGGTCTGCCGCTGGCAGGCTGGCGTCGACTTTGGGCAGGCTGACGTCGGCGTCCAGTTTGGGAGCCTTGACGGTCGGCTTGGAGAAGGCCACGCTGGGCACCTTGACCTTCGGCATGTGGATTTTCATGCCGCCGCCCTCAGCTTTGCCGGCAGCCGCCTCCAGGCCGCCTTCGACCTGGGGGCCCTGCAGGGCGACTTCGCCCTCCTGGACTTCGGCCTGGCCCTTGGGCAGCGAGACCTCGGCCTTTGGCAGGCTGACCTGCACGTGGGGAGCTTTGACCTTGGGCAGCTTGACGCTGGGCATCTTGACGTCGGGCATCTTGAATCGACCTTTCTCACCGTCTCCTCCGGCGGCCGTCTCGACGGCCACCTCCACGCCGGGCGCTTGGATCTCGGCCCCGGGCAGGGTCACGTCCACCTCGGCGGTTCCCGAGGGCACCGTCACTTGGGGCTCCTTCAGGCTGACGTCCACGTCAGCGGCCACGGTGCCCTTGGCCTCTCTGCTGCTGGACCAGCCAAAGGAAGGCATGCCGAACTTGGGCATCTTGAACTTGCCGTCCTTGGTCTTGGCGGCCTCCTTCTCGGGGGCTTTTGCTTCCCCTTCGAGGGCGAGGCCCGCCTCGGGTGCCTGCAGGTCGACGCTGGCCTTCGGAAGGGTGACGTCGACGGACGGGAGGCTGATGTCTACCTTGGGAGCTTTGATGTCAGCTTTGGGCATTTTGAGGGAGGGCTTCTCCAGCTTCCAGCCGGCCCCGTCGCTTTTGGCGCCGGGCACGTCGGCTTTCAGGCCCAGCGCGGGGCCCTCCCCTGCGGCCGTCACGGTGGCGGAGGGGAGGTCGACCTCTGCGGCGGCCAGGCTGAGCTCGCCTTCGGGCCCTTCTGCCTTGAGGGGCGACACCCCGAATTTGGGCTTGTCGAACTTGGGCATCTTAAACTTCCCTTTCAGACCCGCGCCTTCCAGCTCGGCCCCGTCGAGCGACCCTTCGGCAGAGGGCACTTTGAGCGCTATCTCGGGCGCCTGGAGCTCGAGGGAGCCTTCGACGGAGGGCAGCTGGATGTCGGGGGCCGCAATGCTGACGGCGCCGGTGCCGGCCTTCAGGTCTGCCTCTGGCAGGCTGGCGTCGACTTTGGGCAGGCTGACGTCGGCGTCCAGTTTGGGAGCCTTGACGGTCGGCTTGGAGAAGGCCACGCTGGGCACCTTGACCTTCGGCATGTGGATTTTCATGCCGCCGCCCTCAGCTTTGCCGGCAGCCGCCTCCAGGCCGCCTTCGACCTGGGGGCCCTGCAGGGCGACTTCGCCCTCCTGGACTTCGGCCTGGCCCTTGGGCAGCGAGACCTCGGCCTTTGGCAGGCTGACCTGCACGTGGGGAGCTTTGACCTTGGGCAGCTTGACGCTGGGCATCTTGACGTCGGGCATCTTGAATCGACCTTTCTCACCGTCTCCTCCGGCGGCCGTCTCGACGGCCACCTCCACGCCGGGCGCTTGGATCTCGGCCCCGGGCAGGGTCACGTCCACCTCGGCGGTTCCCGAGGGCACCGTCACTTGGGGCTCCTTCAGGCTGACGTCCACGTCAGCGGCCACGGTGCCCTTGGCCTCTCTGCTGCTGGACCAGCCAAAGGAAGGCATGCCGAACTTGGGCATCTTGAACTTGCCGTCCTTGGTCTTGGCGGCCTCCTTCTCGGGGGCTTTTGCTTCCCCTTCGAGGGCGAGGCCCGCCTCGGGTGCCTGCAGGTCGACGCTGGCCTTCGGAAGGGTGACGTCGACGGACGGGAGGCTGATGTCTACCTTGGGAGCTTTGATGTCAGCTTTGGGCATTTTGAGGGAGGGCTTCTCCAGCTTCCAGCCGGCCCCGTCGCTTTTGGCGCCGGGCACGTCGGCTTTCAGGCCCAGCGCGGGGCCCTCCCCTGCGGCCGTCACGGTGGCGGAGGGGAGGTCGACCTCTGCGGCGGCCAGGCTGAGCTCGCCTTCGGGCCCTTCTGCCTTGAGGGGCGACACCCCGAATTTGGGCTTGTCGAACTTGGGCATCTTAAACTTCCCTTTCAGACCCGCGCCTTCCAGCTCGGCCCCGTCGAGCGACCCTTCGGCAGAGGGCACTTTGAGCGCTATCTCGGGCGCCTGGAGCTCGAGGGAGCCTTCGACGGAGGGCAGCTGGATGTCGGGGGCCGCAATGCTGACGGCGCCGGTGCCGGCCTTCAGGTCTGCCTCTGGCAGGCTGGCGTCGACTTTGGGCAGGCTGACGTCGGCGTCCAGTTTGGGAGCCTTGACGGTCGGCTTGGAGAAGGCCACGCTGGGCACCTTGACCTTCGGCATGTGGATTTTCATGCCGCCGCCCTCAGCTTTGCCGGCAGCCGCCTCCAGGCCGCCTTCGACCTGGGGGCCCTGCAGGGCGACTTCGCCCTCCTGGACTTCGGCCTGGCCCTTGGGCAGCGAGACCTCGGCCTTTGGCAGGCTGACCTGCACGTGGGGAGCTTTGACCTTGGGCAGCTTGACGCTGGGCATCTTGACGTCGGGCATCTTGAATCGACCTTTCTCACCGTCTCCTCCGGCGGCCGTCTCGACGGCCACCTCCACGCCGGGCGCTTGGATCTCGGCCCCGGGCAGGGTCACGTCCACCTCGGCGGTTCCCGAGGGCACCGTCACTTGGGGCTCCTTCAGGCTGACGTCCACGTCAGCGGCCACGGTGCCCTTGGCCTCTCTGCTGCTGGACCAGCCAAAGGAAGGCATGCCGAACTTGGGCATCTTGAACTTGCCGTCCTTGGTCTTGGCGGCCTCCTTCTCGGGGGCTTTTGCTTCCCCTTCGAGGGCGAGGCCCGCCTCGGGTGCCTGCAGGTCGACGCTGGCCTTCGGAAGGGTGACGTCGACGGACGGGAGGCTGATGTCTACCTTGGGAGCTTTGATGTCAGCTTTGGGCATTTTGAGGGAGGGCTTCTCCAGCTTCCAGCCGGCCCCGTCGCTTTTGGCGCCGGGCACGTCGGCTTTCAGGCCCAGCGCGGGGCCCTCCCCTGCGGCCGTCACGGTGGCGGAGGGGAGGTCGACCTCTGCGGCGGCCAGGCTGAGCTCGCCTTCGGGCCCTTCTGCCTTGAGGGGCGACACCCCGAATTTGGGCTTGTCGAACTTGGGCATCTTAAACTTCCCTTTCAGACCCGCGCCTTCCAGCTCGGCCCCGTCGAGCGACCCTTCGGCAGAGGGCACTTTGAGCGCTATCTCGGGCGCCTGGAGCTCGAGGGAGCCTTCGACGGAGGGCAGCTGGATGTCGGGGGCCGCAATGCTGACGGCGCCGGTGCCGGCCTTCAGGTCTGCCTCTGGCAGGCTGGCGTCGACTTTGGGCAGGCTGACGTCGGCGTCCAGTTTGGGAGCCTTGACGGTCGGCTTGGAGAAGGCCACGCTGGGCACCTTGACCTTCGGCATGTGGATTTTCATGCCGCCGCCCTCAGCTTTGCCGGCAGCCGCCTCCAGGCCGCCTTCGACCTGGGGGCCCTGCAGGGCGACTTCGCCCTCCTGGACTTCGGCCTGGCCCTTGGGCAGCGAGACCTCGGCCTTTGGCAGGCTGACCTGCACGTGGGGAGCTTTGACCTTGGGCAGCTTGACGCTGGGCATCTTGACGTCGGGCATCTTGAATCGACCTTTCTCACCGTCTCCTCCGGCGGCCGTCTCGACGGCCACCTCCACGCCGGGCGCTTGGATCTCGGCCCCGGGCAGGGTCACGTCCACCTCGGCGGTTCCCGAGGGCACCGTCACTTGGGGCTCCTTCAGGCTGACGTCCACGTCAGCGGCCACGGTGCCCTTGGCCTCTCTGCTGCTGGACCAGCCAAAGGAAGGCATGCCGAACTTGGGCATCTTGAACTTGCCGTCCTTGGTCTTGGCGGCCTCCTTCTCGGGGGCTTTTGCTTCCCCTTCGAGGGCGAGGCCCGCCTCGGGTGCCTGCAGGTCGACGCTGGCCTTCGGAAGGGTGACGTCGACGGACGGGAGGCTGATGTCTACCTTGGGAGCTTTGATGTCAGCTTTGGGCATTTTGAGGGAGGGCTTCTCCAGCTTCCAGCCGGCCCCGTCGCTTTTGGCGCCGGGCACGTCGGCTTTCAGGCCCAGCGCGGGGCCCTCCCCTGCGGCCGTCACGGTGGCGGAGGGGAGGTCGACCTCTGCGGCGGCCAGGCTGAGCTCGCCTTCGGGCCCTTCTGCCTTGAGGGGCGACACCCCGAATTTGGGCTTGTCGAACTTGGGCATCTTAAACTTCCCTTTCAGACCCGCGCCTTCCAGCTCGGCCCCGTCGAGCGACCCTTCGGCAGAGGGCACTTTGAGCGCTATCTCGGGCGCCTGGAGCTCGAGGGAGCCTTCGACGGAGGGCAGCTGGATGTCGGGGGCCGCAATGCTGACGGCGCCGGTGCCGGCCTTCAGGTCTGCCGCTGGCAGGCTGGCGTCGACTTTGGGCAGGCTGACGTCGGCGTCCAGTTTGGGAGCCTTGACGGTCGGCTTGGAGAAGGCCACGCTGGGCACCTTGACCTTCGGCATGTGGATTTTCATGCCGCCGCCCTCAGCTTTGCCGGCAGCCGCCTCCAGGCCGCCTTCGACCTGGGGGCCCTGCAGGGCGACTTCGCCCTCCTGGACTTCGGCCTGGCCCTTGGGCAGCGAGACCTCGGCCTTTGGCAGGCTGACCTGCACGTGGGGAGCTTTGACCTTGGGCAGCTTGACGCTGGGCATCTTGACGTCGGGCATCTTGAATCGACCTTTCTCACCGTCTCCTCCGGCGGCCGTCTCGACGGCCACCTCCACGCCGGGCGCTTGGATCTCGGCCCCGGGCAGGGTCACGTCCACCTCGGCGGTTCCCGAGGGCACCGTCACTTGGGGCTCCTTCAGGCTGACGTCCACGTCAGCGGCCACGGTGCCCTTGGCCTCTCTGCTGCTGGACCAGCCAAAGGAAGGCATGCCGAACTTGGGCATCTTGAACTTGCCGTCCTTGGTCTTGGCGGCCTCCTTCTCGGGGGCTTTTGCTTCCCCTTCGAGGGCGAGGCCCGCCTCGGGTGCCTGCAGGTCGACGCTGGCCTTCGGAAGGGTGACGTCGACGGACGGGAGGCTGATGTCTACCTTGGGAGCTTTGATGTCAGCTTTGGGCATTTTGAGGGAGGGCTTCTCCAGCTTCCAGCCGGCCCCGTCGCTTTTGGCGCCGGGCACGTCGGCTTTCAGGCCCAGCGCGGGGCCCTCCCCTGCGGCCGTCACGGTGGCGGAGGGGAGGTCGACCTCTGCGGCGGCCAGGCTGAGCTCGCCTTCGGGCCCTTCTGCCTTGAGGGGCGACACCCCGAATTTGGGCTTGTCGAACTTGGGCATCTTAAACTTCCCTTTCAGACCCGCGCCTTCCAGCTCGGCCCCGTCGAGCGACCCTTCGGCAGAGGGCACTTTGAGCGCTATCTCGGGCGCCTGGAGCTCGAGGGAGCCTTCGACGGAGGGCAGCTGGATGTCGGGGGCCGCAATGCTGACGGCGCCGGTGCCGGCCTTCAGGTCTGCCTCTGGCAGGCTGGCGTCGACTTTGGGCAGGCTGACGTCGGCGTCCAGTTTGGGAGCCTTGACGGTCGGCTTGGAGAAGGCCACGCTGGGCACCTTGACCTTCGGCATGTGGATTTTCATGCCGCCGCCCTCAGCTTTGCCGGCAGCCGCCTCCAGGCCGCCTTCGACCTGGGGGCCCTGCAGGGCGACTTCGCCCTCCTGGACTTCGGCCTGGCCCTTGGGCAGCGAGACCTCGGCCTTTGGCAGGCTGACCTGCACGTGGGGAGCTTTGACCTTGGGCAGCTTGACGCTGGGCATCTTGACGTCGGGCATCTTGAATCGACCTTTCTCACCGTCTCCTCCGGCGGCCGTCTCGACGGCCACCTCCACGCCGGGCGCTTGGATCTCGGCCCCGGGCAGGGTCACGTCCACCTCGGCGGTTCCCGAGGGCACCGTCACTTGGGGCTCCTTCAGGCTGACGTCCACGTCAGCGGCCACGGTGCCCTTGGCCTCTCTGCTGCTGGACCAGCCAAAGGAAGGCATGCCGAACTTGGGCATCTTGAACTTGCCGTCCTTGGTCTTGGCGGCCTCCTTCTCGGGGGCTTTTGCTTCCCCTTCGAGGGCGAGGCCCGCCTCGGGTGCCTGCAGGTCGACGCTGGCCTTCGGAAGGGTGACGTCGACGGACGGGAGGCTGATGTCTACCTTGGGAGCTTTGATGTCAGCTTTGGGCATTTTGAGGGAGGGCTTCTCCAGCTTCCAGCCGGCCCCGTCGCTTTTGGCGCCGGGCACGTCGGCTTTCAGGCCCAGCGCGGGGCCCTCCCCTGCGGCCGTCACGGTGGCGGAGGGGAGGTCGACCTCTGCGGCGGCCAGGCTGAGCTCGCCTTCGGGCCCTTCTGCCTTGAGGGGCGACACCCCGAATTTGGGCTTGTCGAACTTGGGCATCTTAAACTTCCCTTTCAGACCCGCGCCTTCCAGCTCGGCCCCGTCGAGCGACCCTTCGGCAGAGGGCACTTTGAGCGCTATCTCGGGCGCCTGGAGCTCGAGGGAGCCTTCGACGGAGGGCAGCTGGATGTCGGGGGCCGCAATGCTGACGGCGCCGGTGCCGGCCTTCAGGTCTGCCTCTGGCAGGCTGGCGTCGACTTTGGGCAGGCTGACGTCGGCGTCCAGTTTGGGAGCCTTGACGGTCGGCTTGGAGAAGGCCACGCTGGGCACCTTGACCTTCGGCATGTGGATTTTCATGCCGCCGCCCTCAGCTTTGCCGGCAGCCGCCTCCAGGCCGCCTTCGACCTGGGGGCCCTGCAGGGCGACTTCGCCCTCCTGGACTTCGGCCTGGCCCTTGGGCAGCGAGACCTCGGCCTTTGGCAGGCTGACCTGCACGTGGGGAGCTTTGACCTTGGGCAGCTTGACGCTGGGCATCTTGACGTCGGGCATCTTGAATCGACCTTTCTCACCGTCTCCTCCGGCGGCCGTCTCGACGGCCACCTCCACGCTGGGCGCTTGGATCTCGGCCCCGGGCAGGGTCACGTCCACCTCGGCGGTTCCCGAGGGCACCGTCACTTGGGGCTCCTTCAGGCTGACGTCCACGTCAGCGGCCACGGTGCCCTTGGCCTCTCTGCTGCTGGACCAGCCAAAGGAAGGCATGCCGAACTTGGGCATCTTGAACTTGCCGTCCTTGGTCTTGGCGGCCTCCTTCTCGGGGGCTTTTGCTTCCCCTTCGAGGGCGAGGCCCGCCTCGGGTGCCTGCAGGTCGACGCTGGCCTTCGGAAGGGTGACGTCGACGGACGGGAGGCTGATGTCTACCTTGGGAGCTTTGATGTCAGCTTTGGGCATTTTGAGGGAGGGCTTCTCCAGCTTCCAGCCGGCCCCGTCGCTTTTGGCGCCGGGCACGTCGGCTTTCAGGCCCAGCGCGGGGCCCTCCCCTGCGGCCGTCACGGTGGCGGAGGGGAGGTCGACCTCTGCGGCGGCCAGGCTGAGCTCGCCTTCGGGCCCTTCTGCCTTGAGGGGCGACACCCCGAATTTGGGCTTGTCGAACTTGGGCATCTTAAACTTCCCTTTCAGACCCGCGCCTTCCAGCTCGGCCCCGTCGAGCGACCCTTCGGCAGAGGGCACTTTGAGCGCTATCTCGGGCGCCTGGAGCTCGAGGGAGCCTTCGACGGAGGGCAGCTGGATGTCGGGGGCCGCAATGCTGACGGCGCCGGTGCCGGCCTTCAGGTCTGCCTCTGGCAGGCTGGCGTCGACTTTGGGCAGGCTGACGTCGGCGTCCAGTTTGGGAGCCTTGACGGTCGGCTTGGAGAAGGCCACGCTGGGCACCTTGACCTTCGGCATGTGGATTTTCATGCTGCCGCCCTCAGCTTTGCCGGCAGCCGCCTCCAGGCTGCCTTCGACCTGGGGGCCCTGCAGGGCGACTTCGCCCTCCTGGACTTCGGCCTGGCCCTTGGGCAGCGAGACCTCGGCCTTTGGCAGGCTGACCTGCACGTGGGGAGCTTTGACCTTGGGCAGCTTGACGCTGGGCATCTTGACGTCGGGCATCTTGAATCGACCTTTCTCACCGTCTCCTCCGGCGGCCGTCTCGACGGCCACCTCCACGCCGGGCGCTTGGATCTCGGCCCCGGGCAGGGTCACGTCCACCTCGGCGGTTCCCGAGGGCACCGTCACTTGGGGCTCCTTCAGGCTGACGTCCACGTCAGCGGCCACGGTGCCCTTGGCCTCTCTGCTGCTGGACCAGCCAAAGGAAGGCATGCCGAACTTGGGCATCTTGAACTTGCCGTCCTTGGTCTTGGCGGCCTCCTTCTCGGGGGCTTTTGCTTCCCCTTCGAGGGCGAGGCCCGCCTCGGGTGCCTGCAGGTCGACGCTGGCCTTCGGAAGGGTGACGTCGACGGACGGGAGGCTGATGTCTACCTTGGGAGCTTTGATGTCAGCTTTGGGCATTTTGAGGGAGGGCTTCTCCAGCTTCCAGCCGGCCCCGTCGCTTTTGGCGCCGGGCACGTCGGCTTTCAGGCCCAGCGCGGGGCCCTCCCCTGCGGCCGTCACGGTGGCGGAGGGGAGGTCGACCTCTGCGGCGGCCAGGCTGAGCTCGCCTTCGGGCCCTTCTGCCTTGAGGGGCGACACCCCGAATTTGGGCTTGTCGAACTTGGGCATCTTAAACTTCCCTTTCAGACCCGCGCCTTCCAGCTCGGCCCCGTCGAGCGACCCTTCGGCAGAGGGCACTTTGAGCGCTATCTCGGGCGCCTGGAGCTCGAGGGAGCCTTCGACGGAGGGCAGCTGGATGTCGGGGGCCGCAATGCTGACGGCGCCGGTGCCGGCCTTCAGGTCTGCCTCTGGCAGGCTGGCGTCGACTTTGGGCAGGCTGACGTCGGCGTCCAGTTTGGGAGCCTTGACGGTCGGCTTGGAGAAGGCCACGCTGGGCACCTTGACCTTCGGCATGTGGATTTTCATGCCGCCGCCCTCAGCTTTGCCGGCAGCCGCCTCCAGGCCGCCTTCGACCTGGGGGCCCTGCAGGGCGACTTCGCCCTCCTGGACTTCGGCCTGGCCCTTGGGCAGCGAGACCTCGGCCTTTGGCAGGCTGACCTGCACGTGGGGAGCTTTGACCTTGGGCAGCTTGACGCTGGGCATCTTGACGTCGGGCATCTTGAATCGACCTTTCTCACCGTCTCCTCCGGCGGCCGTCTCGACGGCCACCTCCACGCCGGGCGCTTGGATCTCGGCCCCGGGCAGGGTCACGTCCACCTCGGCGGTTCCCGAGGGCACCGTCACTTGGGGCTCCTTCAGGCTGACGTCCACGTCAGCGGCCACGGTGCCCTTGGCCTCTCTGCTGCTGGACCAGCCAAAGGAAGGCATGCCGAACTTGGGCATCTTGAACTTGCCGTCCTTGGTCTTGGCGGCCTCCTTCTCGGGGGCTTTTGCTTCCCCTTCGAGGGCGAGGCCCGCCTCGGGTGCCTGCAGGTCGACGCTGGCCTTCGGAAGGGTGACGTCGACGGACGGGAGGCTGATGTCTACCTTGGGAGCTTTGATGTCAGTTTCTGTATTTTGAGAGAATTCTTCTTTTATCTGTGACGATACACTTACTTCACCCTTTTTTATTTCAATAGCAGGTTTGGTAGTCAGTATTTCTCCTTCTTCCAAATGATTATCCATTACGGACGTTTCTACAGTTCGACCTTTCTGATCTGGGATTTGGACTTCTGTAATTTTTCTTATATCTTTGTCACTTATTTTTTCTTTGGAAATGTCGATTTCAATTTCAATACTTGGAAGCTTTTTTTCTTCTCCTGATATAGTCATCTCTAGTTTTTCATCTTCTTCTAGGGATTGAACTTTTCTTTCCCTTTCACTTACCTGACCTTCATTTTGCCCTGTTTCATCCTTTGTACTTGCCCAGGTAAATGTAGGTAATTTAAACTTTGGCAGTCTGAATTTGCTTTCTTTCCCGTCTATATCCTTTTCTTCTGTCTTCATGCCAATGTCCTCTTTCAAGGTTTTAGATCTTGTGGGCATGCCATCTCCTTCTATCTGCACTTTTTTTACTGTATCCACTGATTCAACTCTGCTTTCTTCTCTTGATACTTTCATGTCAGCTTTAGGTGTTTTGGCTATTTTGAATGATGGTATTTGTATTTTCCAAGTAGATACTTCTGATTCTGCATCAGGAATATGAGGTTTCACATCCAAATTCCTGCTGTCCTCTGAAGTAGTATCACCTGTTTTTTCTGGTACTGAATGTGGATCACTTCCCAGCTTGGTGTTTTCAGTCTCTAGCTCTTTTATTCTGGGCACTGAAATCCCAATTTTTGTTTTCTGAATTGTTAGTGTTTTTGTGTCTTCTTCTGATTTTTTTTCTCTTATTTCCAGTGTGTCAGTTGTAGTGTGTAATTCTGCCTTAGCAGTACCTATTTCTAGACCTTTTACCTGTATAGATCCTTGTGCTGTTGGACCAATCATGTCTATGTTAATTCCACTTTCTCCTTCTGTTCTATCTGCTGTTCCTTTCTGTTTCTTTTTTCGGGATTTTGATGAGGCTTGTGTTTGTTTAGTTGGGCTTTCTGTCAGATGAGGTGTTTCTAAACTGGGCTTTGATACTTGTGTTGTTATAGCTGGTACTTCAGGTACAGTAAATTTTGATGTTGACTCCTTTTCTTTTTCCTTTTTAATGCTTATTTCAACTTCAGGGCATTTTTTTGCATGAGATTGAAGGCCATTTTTCATATCTTTCAAGTCTTTTGTTAAAGTTTCATATACCTCCCCTGTTTTAATTTCGTAAGCTGGAGATGCGGTATATTCAACATTTAGGATTTCAGGATTTTCCAGGCTGATATCTTCTTTGTGTATTTTTTCTCTTTCAGATAACAGTGTTGATTTTATCTCTTTTTTTTGCTTGTCTTGTGGTTCTGGTTTGGATCTGTGCATTTTGAAACCAATGCTAGGGAACTTCAGTTTCTTTTGGCTTCCTTTTTTTTCTTTGACATGGACTTCTTGTTGAAATTGAGACTCTGTGTCTGTGCTTGTAGGAGAAATATCCTGTATAGCAGGTTCATATGCATCTGATGTACTATGAGATCTTCTGTGCCCAAGTATCTTTTTATTTTTAATTGACTGGAATTTTGGCCATGATAACCTATCTTTTTAGGTCTCTTGCTTCTTCCTACCCTTTGGCTTACAATTAATGTTTCCCTTTCTTCTTCTGAAATGGCTTTTCCTGAAACATGCAGTGTTTCTTCAGGAATGCTCTCACTGAGTTCTTTTTCCTGAAACAACAAACAATAGTCAGGAGATTAAAAGTAAATTAAATATAGACACAACACAAAATAAAATATATACTATAAAACATGTAGGAAAATGAGTTTTTAATTAATAGTATCTACTTGTTATATAAAAAAATTCTGCAAATGGTGTATATAACTCAGGTAGAAATTACAGAAAACAAATGGATTATGACTGTAATATGTGGATTTCTGAAGGTTTATGTTCTTTGCAAAACATTGAAGTAAATAGAGGTTTCTATATGTATCACTCTTTATACGTCTATACAAATATATATATAAAATATTTATATATATGTATACGAAGAGAAAAATAATTTTGAAGGTGATGGAGACCTATTGGCAGATCGTGTTTATGGAGATATCAGACATTATATATATATTTTTAAGAGAATATTTCATTGATGATATTTTGAGAAAAATACTGATATTTTACATTTTGGAAAATATTGAATATAAATATTACAGAACTTATCTGATCCTGTTCTGTTGGTGGACCCTTAACAAAAAAAAATGTGGACTTGCTAGACAATGTTTTTCTACCCTAACACAAGATTGTGGCTTTATCCAAAATCTATAGTCTTGCCCAGGGTATTTAAAAAGCTGCAAATTTGTGTGGGATTTTTTACTTCTCATTAATATTTGTGCTAGTAAGTTTAAACATATGACTAAGTCTCAAGAAGATACGAGTGTGTAATTTCTGATCTATTTCCACACAGAACATTACTACAGTGTTATCCAAACATCATAAACTAATCAAATATCTACCTGGTTTATTCTTTCCTTTCTGTACTGTGCTGTAGAGTGAATGTGTTCTAGCTCTTCTTTCCCAGCAATTTTTCTTTTGAGGCTGAATTGGACTCTGTATGGCTCGGAATATTGGAGAATCTTGAGTGCATCTTCATATTTGATATCATCGAAAAATATTGTAGCACTTAGAAGCTGATCACCTGCAAGTGGAATCAGGCATAATTTCATTAGTTTGTGTTTTCTTGCAGTTTTAAAAATTCTGTTTGAGATAATGCCTACAAAAAAAAAAATAAACAAAAAAACCAAACACATCCTATTTATTCTATTTATTTAAAATATTAAATTATGTTCACATAATCGTATTACACAATAATTAAGGCTGGAAAGGACCTCTGGAAATTATCTGGTCCAACTGCTCTGCCCAGGGAAGAGTCAGCTACAGCCAGTTGCTCAGGTCTGTGTGCAGTCAGGTTTTGAAGATTTCCAAGCATTGTGACTTCCCAACCTCTCTGGAAAACTTGTTCCAGTGTCTGATTGCCCTGACAATAACTAAGATTTTTCTTATATTTTTCAGTATTTAGACTTCAGATTTTTGTTCTTGTTTAAATCATTATTTATTGTAGCTTTGTGGCATACTATTTTGTGAAAGAATCAAAGGCAGGTTCTTCATGAATGCTATGAGGGTTTTTTTTATTTCATTTTAGTTGTGTATATACCACTTCCTATGTATCTTTTTCATTGTTCCAGTGAAAATGATATTATTTTTTTTTTTACGGTATACAAGAAAAACACATCATTATTTTTTAAGAAACTGATTTTTGAAAATATTAATATGGAAAGGTTAAGTTTACACATAACATTAGTTGGTTTGGAATCTACTATTTCTATTATCTAAAGAGATGACAGATCAGTAGGGTATCTATATGCACACACAGCTACATATCTGATTATTTTAAGATATAAAAAAACTTCCAACAACCCAAAACATAAAGTCAGACTGTACCTTCTCTCAGACTAAATAGTTTTGAAGCAGGAGATTCCTTAAGTACTTTTTTAATAAATATTCCTTCATTTCCTCCACCCATCACACTAAAACCACTAGCACCAGCTTCCACGTCTGTTTTCAGGATCACCTCCATTGTCTCCTACATATAGAAAAAAGTGGGAATTTATAATTTTTATTCATTTGTATCAAAGTGTTCTACAATACTGTACAATAAAAAATTGAGTCTTCTCAGGCATATTTTCAGTAGCTCAAGAAAGATTATCTAAAATAGAGAATATAACTGTTCAATGTGGGTTTCATTCTGTTCTAAATTAGAATTAAGCACATGTGTTGGTGTTATGCTGGATCAGGTCCATAGGGAAAATAGGTTATAGCTTTAAAATGTGAAACATATAGCATCTTTTAGGACTGAGACATTGTATTTTCTGTGAAGATGTTAAGCACCTGAATTAGAGCTAATGGGCCAGAAAAGTCAGACTAAGAGCTGACACAGTACTGTACTCAAACCAGAGAAGGTAAAAGAGGACCCCAAATAAGACAAGTAAGTGTTCATGACTGTGTCACAACTAAGCAATTTGTGAAGTTTCTGGTCAAAACAAAGCTAAAGTGATTCCCTGCCCATTTGTCCTTCCCTCTGTCCACCCATTCACATCTGTGTGTTGTAATAGATTTTACTATTTTGCAAGCCACGTGCTTAAAACTAGAGTGTTTTTAGACTGACCTGTGAATGACTTTGTTTTGATTTGTCTGTAGAATATTTTTTGTTTTCTTCTTGAAGCTGAAAATTAATTTGCAATTATTTAGTATTAAGAAGTCATGCTATTGTAAAGTACAACAGAAGTCCTACATCAGTTAAAATCCCTGGTTTAGACTAAGAACTGAGACTGACTTTAATGGCAACAAAGCAAATTTGGGATCTACAGGTACAGTGTACAACATGAATAATTTAACTATATTATTCCCAGTAGTAAATTCGATGCCAACGCCTCTCTGCATTGTACCAAAATTTGCATGAAATGAACACCAGAGACCAACTGTATTAAGACATTGAGAGCTTTTCTGTGTGCTATTCATGCAGCACATTTCTCATGCTTTCATCTTCGTGAACATACAAATTATTTATTCAACTTCAGCATGAATTTCAAACTGTTGCCTACTTATCTTAACATGACTGTACTCATTAAATCTTTACTTTTGAATAAGCAAGGAGTACAGGTAGTTTTGAAATACGTATTAGTTAGATTCAAGCCAGTTAAACATTCTAATAGGAAAAGCATTGTGATTTCTTAACACTCTCTGCCCTAGGTCCTTCAAGGAATTAAGTCAAATGCATTTTTTTATCAAGAAACAAGAACATGGCCAACAACAAGTTCAGTACAATATAAAGCCATCAATGAACATGTCCCTGATTTTGGTGGGGACAGGAAGACAATATGGCTGCAACAACATCCTGTTACATGACTTAGGAGTCTCAGCTAGTTTTAGGAGCTAAAGCCTCTTGAATCAACTTGGTAAAGCCATGCCTGCATGAAAACTCAATGTCTTGCCTTTAAATATTCTTCTTCTACGGAATATTCATAAACTGGAGAGGATCCTTGTGGCCTTGGACGGATGTCTTCTACTGCCACTTCATTAACCTGTGGAAAAGAAATGAGTGGTAGGAAAGAAACAGCCACCATTAAACAGTGACACATTTTTTTTAGGATATTTTTTTCTACTTAGGCATAGTCTCCTTTTGTGTACAAATCTTTCATTAGTAATGGTGGACGCAGAATAATCAATAACTCTTTCCTTAAGTCAAGAACAAATGCAATTCTCATTTAAGGATATTACTCGAGAACACAAAGGACAGACGCCTGAGAGACAAAACCAGTGGTATGCTGATTTGGGGGTTTTTTACGTATTGTATGAATCTATGGGCTGAATAGACTGAAAATACTGAGAGATCAATCAGTAATAATTGAAAAAGGCAATAAAAATTCCCTCTTCTGCTTTATTTGCACACCTAACTTTGCAACCTGTGGCTTCAAACTTTATGCCCTCTATAACCAACCAAACCATGGAAGAGTCCCAGCAGGAATTTCTGCTGACAAGCATTTGGCAAGTTTCCTTCTGGAGTCAAATGATAGGGAACCTGCTACAGCTTTAAAGAAAAGTTACTGTAGGTTATACTTTGCTAAGTCTTGGTATTAAACTTATGCTGGTGAATCATGGCAAAGAATAGATCACTTTATATTGAAGCATCATTCCGACTTTTGAGCTGTCAAGAGAATCCCAAGCAGAAATACAACATTTTTAATGGGGAGAAAAATCACTAGCAAGACATGGATAAAGTCAAAATATTTAAGATCCCTTTTTAACAAGGTAACTGCCAAACCTCCATCCCCCGCAAAAAAAAAAAAAAAAAACTACTCTAAAAAAACTCACAGAATCTTCGTCCTCTGCATCTGCATCAGCATCAGCATCTCCTGGAGGCTCAGCCGGTCTCAGCTGCCGTCCGGAACCTGAAAGCAGCATACAGGTTGTTGGTGTCCGCGGGAGCCACACAGGGCACAGAGCAGTCTGCAAGCTGAAGCCCTCAGAGCTGCACACCCAGGCAACATGCCTGGGCAGCTGTGGAAAGGCCTGCCTTCATTTAGATTCCTTATCTCAGATCTCATCAGGCTGACCTTTCCAAAGATACCAGAAATATTCGTGTCCAGAAATGTAAAAGCTTTTGTGAAGGAAAAAATCCTCAGATTGGAGAAAATGTAGAACTAGAAGTTGGCCAGATTTTACTTTTTTTTTTATGATCAAGTGGGACTTGAGATGTGTATTGGGCAGAACTGCCAGAACTTTGACAACAGTGTGGCTGTGGGGTGGTCTCTGTGGGAGGAGGTCATGGATCACCCCATTCCAGATGCAGCCACTTACAGCCAGCTCTGCCTGCAATGCTGAACTGATCAGAGGGGTTTCTGGCACCTCTGTGAACATGTGTTTAAGAAAGTGTGTTAAACGCTGAGATAAAGAGACAACACCAATAGAGGAGGAGGAGAAAAACAGAGAAGACCACACCAGAGCAGGAGCAGAGAGGAAAGATGGCAGAGCAGGAGAAATGCTGGAGCAAAATAGGATCTCAAGCAGGGGCTGGAGGAAGAAAAGCTGCCTGAGAGAGGACAGAGAGGAGGCTCGACTCTGATGGGTGAGCGGCTGATGGAGGAAGCCACCCTGGGACAACTGAGCATGAAGCAAGGAGTGGACAAAAAAAAAGGCAGCCACCATCTGCTGACCCCCATCTCCTGCACCATCTCTCACCTTCCCAAAGGGACTGGGTGTAAGCCCACAGTGAGGAGACTGGAGACCAGAAAGAGGGATGGAGAAGTGTACATAGGAGAGCTGAGCTGTTTTTCGCTGAGAGTTTTTATTTATTTATTTATTTTAAATACTAGAATCAGTAATTAAAAGTTTGTTAACTGGCAATAAATTAAATTGATTGAAATTTCCCATCTTGAAACTCTTCCTTGCTTCTGACAGTGGTCTTAAGACAAGAGCTGGAGAGTAAACATCATGAAGCTTTGACAGCCATAAAGACTCTTCTTTCTTGGTTTTTAAAAGTATTGAGGGCAGAAAGAGATGAGGTGAAGGAGATGGGCTGTTTGAAACTATGATACTGTTGAAATGCCTTAAATTGAGCACCAAAGAATGAAAAAGCATGAATAAATCATTTTCAGAGATCCGGGTTTAGCCAGTAGAGGACAGTGTGGCTGAATTACACATTCCCTGATGCACAGCCTATTCTAACACATGCACAAGTCCTTGTCCTGATAACTATGGCTCTTTCCTGTCTCCATGCTCCATTTTTATCAAGCCATCAGGCTGTCTAGCTCTCTCACACCCAGTTCTGCAACTGCCATTAGTATACATAGTTTTGGATCTCCTAAACAGATCATCTGGCTTAAAAATATGTGTGAACACTAGAAAAGACAACCACAAGCAGAACTGTGCAACTCCTCCACTGTCTACTTTAAATGAAGAATCCTTTGGTGCAATACAACATTTCTGGATGTGGATATTACATGCTGTGTGTGCAGACAAGCTGGCACAACTTATACATGTATGCAATCACTCTTATACCAGTTGCCAAGCTCCTGTTAAAATGGCTGTGATTTTGCTAGCTTTTCTTCATAATTTTATGATCTCCTACATTTATTTTTTACTTGACTTTTTTGAAGATTAAATTATTTACTTCAGGCAGGGTTCTGAAACAGCTATACCACATGGTCAGTGACAGACCACTTTGTTAAGACGAATGGAAATAGTGGGCTTCCAGTTGGAGTGTTCCGTGTCAGTCTGTGGTCCAAGTTTCCAAACTTGATAGAATAGAAGACATCCTCATTAGCCATGGGGACATCATCTTAATCAGCTGTCTTGTGGTATTGTATCTCCAGAGAACTAGGATCAACCCAGAACACATCAGGGCTGCCACACCATGCCTCCTTTAGCCTTTACAGGACTAGTCCTGATGCCTACAGTGGACAATTCTAGAAAATGGTCTTTGTGCAGACCCTAATTCAGTTTAAAAACCTAAATAAACTAGCTCGACTTTTTTTTTTTTTTTTTTTTTCCCAAAAGCTCTAGTATTTCCATTTTCAGAAGCTCAAGAAAATTGGAAAATGAACATAAACTTGTTAAAAAATTTAGAAGTGGATTTATGAACCTGATTTTAGGCATTTCTGCTTGAAAATTCTGGAATGTATTCATGAATCTCTTCACCACATGTATTTTAATAACCATCATATGAGGAAAAGAGCTGCAGGACTGAGGCCTGATTGTTCAATTTGCTTAGTGCATCTAAACATTCAGGTGCCAAGAGCAAATTTTATGGCTGTTACTAAAATTCCAAGAAATAGTAAGGACTTGGCCTTGTGGCATTGCTGTATTTTTCACTTGGGAGAATCCCACCCACAAGCCTTGAAGTCCAGTAGAATGACTTAACAGAATATTGCTTGGATAGCTAGTGCATTTGCTCTTCAGTGCAGCACTTCAAGGCTAATTACACCATTGATCCCTGGTGACTGCCAATAATTTTACTACTGGAAAAGGAAAAGGAAGGAATTATCTGGGAGAATTCTTGGACTGGTTCATTGCTTTTTCTCTTGTTTTATTCTGGTGTAACTTCAGTGACATTTTAGTTGTCTAGAACTGGAACAATGAAAGTATGGGGTACTCCATTCTCAGGACTTGAATGGTCCTGTACAGTTTGTGCTGCTGATTTTTCACTATCCAGTGGGGCATAACCCTCTGAGTCTAGGGTACTGCAGCTATCCTGCAGTTTCTAACAGAGATGAAGCATTTAAAACCAGATGTTTTAAACAAAGGATTCTTAGAATGATTAGGTGACCAACACCTTCAAAATCTCCCTGTTGCTAAGACTGGGCTACTCATAAAATCCAAGAGAATTAGATCACTTCCCGCAGTGAGACCTGAACACTTATTTCCCATCAGGATGCCAATTCTTGTTCATTGTGGATGTCGAGAGATAGATCTGGCCTGGATGACATCTCACCTGGTCCTGGAGCAGGGGAGAAGTTTCTTATTTTTCACCAGCCATTGATCAAGTGAAGCAGAGGCACAAGGATAGCTTCACATGCTTGACCAAGTATTGGTAGGCAATTGCTCTCCTTGTCCTTGCTAGAGGGGCTATGGATCAAGGTTTGCCAAAATGCTGCCAGAAACATCCCCTGCTGTTAAGAGGAAAACCTGTCAGCATAAAAGGCCTCTTTCACCCACTTCGTGATGGGCAGGAAGCGACAGAGTCTCCCCGTGAAAGCCTTTAGTAAACTGTTACCTCTCCTAAATGGTGATAATAGGACTCTTCCCTACAAGACGAGGCAACAGATTACTCTCCCCAGAGCTAACAGAAATGTGCCTGAGATTACACGGAGAGACAACAGCTACACAAATGACCCTCCCTCCCAAAGCTTCACACTGAGGCCTTTCCATCCACCCTGGTTTCCCCAAACTCTGCCTACTCTGCCCCTCTGCCATAGCTAACCCATGTAATAGAAGACTTCTTGTGCTCCTGATTCCTTCTGTAGACTAAGTTTTGCTTCAGATTTTTTCTTGATTCAGAATACTTTAAAAACAAATCTATAAAAGAGGGGAACTACAGTACATCGATGAATTCCATTTTCAGCAAAGCCTTCTTTCTCTGTATAAAAGACTGTGCCAATAAACTATGATTTATATGCATGTCATTCTCATGCCCAAATAGTAGTGATGCCAACATTTTATAGGTTTTAAATTTTTTTATGAACCCTGGACAATAAATGCTTTGTTCAAAATGTTTTCATAAACAAGATGGAATTTACATCAGTGACTACTTCTAATAGCCACTGAACTGACTTCAGAACAAGGGAATTTTTTGAAAGTAGGCAGTAGGAGTTATATATGCTGGAACATTTTCATATCATATGACTGAAAAGTGTATTTGCTTTTTTAAATGCAATTTTAAAAAAAAATATTTTATCTTTATTCTAGTAACCCAGCTAGACTGTTTTGGGTAAAACCACAAAAACATAAAACAGGTTACTTTTTTGGTATTCACATTCTGCTAGTAACAGTCTCCAAAACCAAATTTGAGACATTATAATCAATTTCAAATATGACAGTATCACTGAACTCATCAATTGTGCTTTAATATATTCTATAAACTGAAGAGAAACCTAGCTTTAACTGGGACACTGACATATAAAATTACCATAATCTATACACTTTAAAATCAAATAAAACAGAAAATAAGAATACCAGAGATATTGTTAAAAGAAGAAGCAATAACATCTTTTGCTGATCATCCTAGCTTCCTTGTTTACAAATTATATCTCTTTGTCTACAATTCTTAGATGTGGGCTTTCTGCTTTTTAAGATTTTATACTAAAATTGTGTTTGCATATGAATGTAGTGAATTTAAGTAATCTGCTCTTATCTTTAAGCACTAATTTTCCTTGCATCAACACAGTCTTGTTTGTGCAGTATTGTGGAAATTAATAGCTTTGAGTCCATGGCCAATTAGAAGACTCATGCCTCGACATCTTTAGATCAGGTCTTTTCTGACTGTGCAAAACACAGTCTGGGCACACAACCTGATTTGTATTCTTAATAAGGAGAAGGAGGACTGAATAGTTGCAAGACAAAGAGCAACAATAATAATTTAATATCATTGTCATTGTTGGCACTGTGTTTGACCCAGCAAAGAATTCATACATGTACGTCAGCAGTTTTCATAATGCTCTCTCATGTGCTTGTGTCTCATGGTAAATAAGGTTGCATGTCGCTACTGTCATGGGCAGCTTCAGGTGGCTCCTGCACCAGAGCTCCCTTCCTGCAACCAGCAGTCCCTGTACCTGCCGATCTGTCTGTCCCTGTGTCTTCAGGCACCCTCTCATGGGTCTGTTACTTCTCATGGGTGCGTGACTGATCACTGCTAATGCACTGCTCCAGAATTCCTCCTCCTTTTTAAATTAAA